AACATATATGTGAGGGGCAACATGGTTCTTTCTGGGTGTTTAAAACCATATAAACCCAACCTAAATCTTTGCAGTGTAGGACAATATTGCAATCCATTGTTCTCAAGTTCTTGTCGTTCCTAATTGCTGTGCTATACTAAAAACCCAGCCCGATCAATATGGACAGGAAAATATCTCTCCATGTGGAGTACAGTAATCGAGGCAGTTTTTATACACTGCCTATTTAGATATAGATCCCAGTTTGTTTCTGAAGAGAAAAGAATAAATGGAAGGAACGTGGCTCAGAATGAACCATTCATTTCTTCACATAGAAAGTCACAACAGCAGAACCTCATCACCTCAGGCAGCATTTATAACAGTTTGCCAGGATTTGGAAATTGTCTTTAGATGCTTTACTTTATTAAAGCTAGAAAACTTTCCCAAAGGGAAAAACTCATTTCCTGATTCTTTTTTTTAAATCTTCCCCAAGGTTGTGAACGGGATTGCAACTCTCATTAAAAAATGAGAGGAGATTCCTAAAATGATATAAAAAATACCAAGTAAGAAGAAGCAGGGAAACTTGTTAATTATTTTCTTTTAAAATACTGCCCTGAAGTGAATGCAGTGTGTTTTTTACCTTACAGTGGGAATTCATTTGAATGCTGAGTGTAGATTAGGTGCTTTCCCCACCCCCTTTCACAAAAATAATGAAAGTGCCTCTTCTCTAATGGGATTTTGCACAGATCATCATTATTCAGCTATGGATATTGATATGATCAAATAATTTGTGGATATAAGGCAGAAACTTCAACCAGACATTTAACCGAATCAAAGGCAGGAAATAAAATGACATGCAAACATGAAATCCTTAGGATTCTATCAGACACCTTTAGTATTGTTTTCAGGCAAACTAGCCCCCCTGATTAGTTATTTTCTATGAACCAGGAAGACTCATTTCACATATATTGCTAATCCCAGACTAAACAAGGTGCACTGAACAAGTCATAATGACCTGGTTTGCACATAGCATTTAACTCTGACAGGTGGCTTCACACATCTTGCTACGCCCCAAACGCAGTGTGGTTTAGCCATCTTGAATTCACTTGGTCTGCTTCTGAGTATTGTGCTAATATAGCTGGAGTCTTTATGTTCTGCTTATAATTCAGAAACCAAATAGAACGGCTTGATTTACAAACACATGAACCATAATTTTAGTTTGTTTGGTTTGGAGCTTAGTATTCTGTGACCCAGGCCACTTCGGCTTGTAAATCATGATTTATAACATGACTTGCTCTGCAAACTCAGCCAATTTTGGTTTATTCAATAAAGCATAGGTAATATGAGCAGGCTTAGCCTGATTTGTGAACTCAGCTAGTTTGCATGGGTAAAATAAAAACAGATATGCTGCCCACATATCTCTTCAGAGTTGAACATTGGTAACAAACAAGGTGGAAAGTAATGGTATCATAACCTCATTTTTAATAAAAATGAGAAGATTTTTTTCTGCTTAGTTCCAAGTGGAGAAAAGCTACTTAAATTAATTTTGCAATGTTTTCCAAGTCATTTATGTGGGCATACATGGTGTATTTCATTATAAATTCATTTATGGAATGTTTTTTATTGTTAACCACTCTGGAATAGATTTGTATGAAAGATTGTACATAAGTAGCTATAAATAATGGGAATTTCATTATAAGTAAAGGCAAACACATTTGGGGCTTTTTAATTTAGAGTTATAGCATAATAGAATTCAGAAACAAGGCTCATTAAGTTTAATGGCATTTACTCCCAGGTAAGAGAGAGTTATGAGATAACTTTATATAATTTTTACTGGCTATTAAGATTTCTTTTTTCTTTCTGATAATAGTAGAATTCAGAGGCAACACATCAAATTGTATTGTGTGTGCATGTTTGTGATATGATGAAAAATAGGGATATATGGCTCCCAATGTTACTCTTTTTTCAAGGTTTCATTCTTGCAAACACGTAATAAATATTATTTTTCTTTATGTAGATATATCATATGCATCACAAAATGTGGACAAATGCAAAAATTGAAAGATAACTACAGCATACTTTGCATATTAGTCAGAGTAGAAATAATATTTTATTTTAAAATGGAAACCAGAAACACATTTCAACGTTGCTCTTGAAAATTAACTTGTTCAAAATGAGCTATTAAAAATATTCACACTATTTTTCTTTGAGCTTGAAAAGACAAAATGACCTTTTTCACCCACAAAATCCATGATGTCAAATTCAATTAATACTCCTGTGAAAATTCTCAAATTTCACAGTAAAGCTTAATTGTGAAAATTAGACTTAAGTTGTTTTGCAGACTCCCACAATGTCATCCTGATTGGGTTCACACAAGAGACTACTGTTTTTACCTTGCTGTATTACTTATTCCATGGCTTATGACTTGGTGTGTTGTGCAAACCTAGCCAATTATAGTTTATTCAATAAACCGTATTGGGCCATGTACATGAACACCATTATATCCTCCTTTTGCAGAGTGCTGCTCTTCTCCATCCTGCTGATTTGGTGTTATTTTAAGACCTCTTTCTCCCTCTTAGAAATCTCTTTCTGAAAGTTCACAGGGCCATATCCCCAAATTTTGGGCTTCGGGCTCTCTCCGCCGGACCCGCCGGCCAGGGAAGCAGCGCTGTCGTCGCCTCGCCTCCCTGTCTGCAGATGGGTGGGCACTATCACTGCCTCGGGCAGCAGTGAGGGGTAGGGGTTTTGTCCCCTATTTTATAAATCACCATCACTGTGGAACCGGTGGGCGGTTAGAGAAAATTTTACTACTAACAGTGATACAAAAGTGGGCGGTAGGTATAAAAAGGTTGACTGCCCCTGCTCTATAGGGTTTCCTGCCTGAGCTGGAGGTTGGACTAAAAGACCTCCAGGTTCCTTTCCAACTCTATTATTATTCTCTTATTCTGGTTGCTGAAGTCATAAAAAATGTATAAGGTTTTACAGAATACACTTTATTTTGGGTGGCCATTTAAAAAGCACACAAAGGAGAAATGGTGGAGAAGAATCTGCTCAGATTCTGCTTCCTCTAATAACTCTGCACCAAAATACGTAGTAAGACTTGCTAGAAATAATGTTAAAATGGGAGCTATTGATTGTCTGGCAAAAGCAGACTTTTGATTTTTGTAAGATAAGAGCATTTTAGTCTAACCAGGTACTTGACAAAGATGCCAAGATCAAATACAAAGGTACTGTAATATGATGCTTAAATATTGATTCATTGTAAGGTATCTGAGTGTTTCTATAGAATCAGGAATTGTTTGTTCGACACCAGAACAAATTCACGGTATGCTACCCAATAATTCCAGGAAACTACCAGTAAATTTTAAAAGCTTAATTTTAGCAACATAAACATACCACATTTTATCTTTTTCTTTCATTCAAATCTCACATATATCAGAGACTCTTCTTTGGATTGGCCAGGTGACAAAAGGACATGAGAAATACCCTGAGAGGGCTGTTTGAGATGAATCTTGATGGAATGGAAGATGGAACCTTGGTTTTTACCTCCTCCCTTCCATCACTCTTTTTAAACATAATGATGGATTGCTTCAGTTTGTTTGCTGAGTTATCTCAAGTTGTGAGCATTTTGTAGTTGTTCATTGGACCAAGATGTTCTCTCCCGTAACCATTCTTGTGGCCAAAGGGAATACAAGAATTTTATCAGAAAAATGCTTTCAAAGAATTATCGATCCATTCCTAACTTGACCTGGAACATTTCAGCTCTTGATACAGTCTTCTATACACACTTTCTTCTCCAGTCCAACCACAAAGATCAGAATTATGCAAACCATGTTAAATCCTATGACACAAAAGTTGGACTTTGAAGAAGCAGAATTATTATTTATTTAGCATATAGCAGAAAGAGCCAGGGAGTTTACAATATTTACACTCTTCTGAACACTTCTAGCCCTACTGGGAAATACAGTTAAATTATTGAGCAAAACTTAGAAATCTAGCCCATATGATACACACCAAGGGTCGCCAACCTTTTGGACCTCAAGGACCACCAAACTCATAATTTAAAATCCCGTGGACCACTAATATGAATTTTGACTGATGGTGGCTTGCTGACATTGTGGGAGAGAGAGAGATCTGATCTAACTTTAAAGGGCTGGCAGTGACATGTTCTCTCTCTCTCTCTCTCTCTCTCTCTCTCTCTCTCTGTGTGTGTGTGTGTGTGTGTGTGTGTGTCACAGACACAGACACATCCCTCACCCCCCCCCCCTCCCCCCAAGGCAGCCACATTCCTAACCTGCTTTCCAGCTCTGTCCTGGGGGGGGGGGGAGAGAGAGAGAGAGAGAGAAAGGGTATCCTGCAATCCCAAATAAAGAACGATCGATCAGTAGGAAAATGGGGTGGGGGGTTTTCCTGCAAACTTTTTTGGGATTTTCCCAGGGTCCCTGTCTGCAGAGACCCTGGGAAAATCCCCAAAAAAGTCTGCAGGAAAATTCCCCACCCCGTTTTCCTACCGATCTATTGTGCTTTATTTGGGATTGCAGCACAGCCTGGGTTAATTGCTTTGGGGGTGACATTTCTCTGTGGACCACCAAAATTTTCTCACGGACCACCAGTGGTCCCCGGCCCACCAGTTGGCAACCACCGATACACACAGTTGAACCATAGATACTACTTATATGATTGCTGGTTCTGCTTAAAGATTCAGATTTTCTGAGGTATACTATGAATGCTTAAAGAGGTGAGAAGCAAGAGCACCCAGCCATCTGGCTGATACTAATTGCTGTTTGATTCTTTCACACTTTGAGAACTGTCTTATGTGTTGCTATGATAATGAAGCCTACTTATTTTTCTTCTACTTATGTTCCTTTATATTGGCCTGAAAGCCATTATTTTAAACTGTGAATACAGTTCACAGTGGTCAGTAGAAAAACCACTTTATAAATAAATTAGCAAAGTATTAATGTCCACCAATACTGAAATTTATAAAAAAATCATAACCTTCTTTTTCTCCTGCTGTATTTTAGTTACCTGACCGCGAGTAACAAGCAGAAATTCTTATATTCCACAAGACCGTTTTTAAAGAGGGCTGCCTTGGTACTTACCTATGTAAGTATTGCTATACATCATTTTTTTTACTCCTTTAATGTCTCCAGATGAATTATATTCTATTAGTTCCTGAGTGTGAAGAATAAACTAATTCAGCAGGGCAGTCATAACTCAAAGATGTGCTGATTAGAGCATCTTAAGATAAAGATACTTTCAGCATTATACATCTTTTTGATCAACAGAAGTTCAGATAGAAATTCCTTTTGCTAGATGACCAGAAACCTGAATTGTATTATATCAAAACTTTGCTCCAGTCTAGAAACAGCTCATTAATTCACCCAACAAAATACATGTAAGTTTATGAATGATAAACCAGCCTTCAAATTATTCCCTCCCCCTTCCATTTTTGTATTTTGGACATAATAAAGAACCACCATTTCAGTTTGGAATGATAGGTTACCAGTTGATGCAATGGGATGACCAGTAACCATAATGAAGTATTGTAATAGATTTAGGTTTGCTGGCCATATACAATTGGGTTTCTCTTTAATAATCCAAGAATTTACTCTTCTTATCTGAAGGTGATCCTACTTATGTATTTTCGCCTATGGATAATGGGAGGTTCCATGCCAGCATTTTCAGAGCAGGACAATCCAGCTTCATTCTCACCATATCTTCTTACAAGGTATTCAACTGGGATTTACTTCTTTTTGATATAAACCAAATATAAACCAAATTTAGTCTATATGCCTTGTTGCCTTTCCCCTAAGAACTGCATTTAATAAAATGAACTTAGGAGTTCTATTATTCCTCTGTATTTAAGCTCATTGCCATTAAATCATCTCAATGTAAATATTTCAGGCATTCTCCCAAAGGTGACATTTGGAGACTTTCACATGTGCAATACTGCTAGTTCCAAAATATATCTTGAATGCTTTGAAATTGATAGATTGCCTAGTATATTTTGATAAGGTGTTAAATGTGATTATCAGCCATCTGCTCCTACTGCAATTATCTATTTGTTTCATTCCAATTTAGCCTTCAAGAATGGACTGTGTGATTCTCCATAGCACATCACTGGTTTATCAGTCTTTCTTTTGAGGATTCTTGGAGGCTTTATATAAATCAGAGGTCCCCAAATCTTTTTGGCCTGATGGTGTTTTAAGAACATACTCTAAATGTTCACAAAATAAAATATATATAAAAAAGAGAGCTTTCTCATTCACAGAAGAATTTAATACCGAGGGAAAGGGAAAGCCCAGTTCAAAAACTTTGATTATTTAGTAAGCTTAATAACAGATCCCGCAGATCTGATGTTCGAGGCCATCCAAATATTAATCAGGATTCATCCTGCTTATTTGCCAGATTTTGAAAAGGTCATCTAGATCAGGGGGGTCATCTTGGCCCAGGGGCAGGATCTGGCCCACACGGTTCTTAGATCTGGCCCGTGGGGCTGGCCTGGAAGGCGGCCCTCCCGATCTCCATTTTTGCTGGCAGCGGATTGCAGGACACCGTCACAGCCAAAAACAGTGCTCGGGAGCCTGTTTTCACTGTGAGAGTGCTCGGTGACCCTGACACAAGTGACATCGAGCTAGCTATGCCCCCTGGCCACACCCCCTCCCCCCTGAGGTCAAACGCAACCCTGTTGTAGCTCTCAATGAAATTGAGTATGACATCCCTGATCTAGATGCTGTCCCAGCTAAGTGATACAAGACATATAAGCACCATCAGATTGGATATATGCTTAATAAGTATGCCTTTTTGCTGTATACTTGTGGGACTGTGCGCCACCATGTCCCCATGGAATTCAGAGAATAAAAAGCAGAGTTATTTCTCCTCTTCAGAGCAAGCCAGCAAAGCAGTTAAGCTATGATTGCTGCAGCGTGGGAGGAAACTATGACATAAACAGTTTTCCGCCAAATTTGGAGCAACCATTTGTAAACTTAAAAGAGGAAGCAATGTATGCCAAAATACCTAAGAGAATATAGAAATTGGATCTCTAGAGAAGAAACAACACATTTTCGGAGTTTTTTCCCCCTGATCTTTTCCTTACCTTTTGGTTCATCGTATCAAAACCATGCAGCTGCTGGTTTTGTTGGATACCCATCAGGATTCCCCTCAAAGTGATGTTTTACGAGGTGGTCTTGTTGGGTCCTTGCTTAAATAAGGCAGTTCCTCTGAAAGAAGAGAGGAATCCATGTTAAGCAATCATGTTTTAAGTTTGCACTCTGTGAAAATGATCCTGAGAATGCAATTGAAGTCCCATCTTCGGAAGTCAAAAGGCATTGCAATGCAAACCTTCAGTATTCTGAGTTATTTGACCTGATCTGACCAGGTTTATTCCTGAGCATGTTTGGAGAAGCTACAGCAGACAAGCCACCATCTGAGAGAGCAATCTAGAGAAACAGCTCTTTGTATCTTAGCAGAAGATTAAATTTAGAGTCACTGGAGAAATAAAGGCACATTTTCTCAGGGGTCACATAAGAGGGTAGAATAAAACAGAACAACATGGCTACGTTTGTAAGCCTTATCTCCTTTTAAAGATCCATGTGTTTCATTTCTTAGATAACCAACAGAATGATTATTTTTACCTAAACACAGGAAGATTACTGTAATGGCTTTCAGTCAAAATAATATTTTTTTTCTTTGCTACTTAGGACTGAGAGCTTTTTTCTCAGGAGCGTTCTCATCTTTTGCATGGGCTCTAAATCAACTGTGCCTGATAAAGCACTTTATAATAAGGTTATAAAGCATTGTGGCTGCAATTGTAACCAGGTTCTGTTATTTATGAGCTTTCTATCTTAGCTGAATTGGTTTATGTTGAGGCACTGCTGTTAGATAACCCAGCTTTCTCTTCCTTGATATTGCTGGCATACTTGTCTTGGTCAAATAAATCATTTTCAAAAGTTAATCATCATAGCTTCTCCTGTACGTGTATGTAGATGTAAATATATCAGAACTGGTAAATTATTGTACTCTTGTTCTGATAATCTGCATATAAACACACAGGTGGCATATGTCAGAGCTGTGCAAATCCTTTGTAGGAAGACAGTGCAAGTACATAGGAGTTCATAGGAAGCCTCTTTTTTATCTTAGACTTCTGTTTTTTACCAATGTATACAATGCAAAGAAAAATAAAAATAGGAAATTAGAGGAAGAATAAAAGGGGGAAAGAAAAAATGAGGTATAAGGGAAGAAAAAAAAGGCATTGACTTCTGACTCTTTTTAGCACAGTACAAGATAATAACATTACAGCCTCAACTTTTTACTTTTACACATTAGTATATAACTGGCCATTTCTGTAACAGCAAATCTATTAAATTGTCATAACTGAAGTCAAGGTTTTATTTTTTTCATTGCACAAAATCCAGATAACAGATAATCAGAGTTGGAAGGGACCTTATAGGTCATTTAGTCCAACCCCTGCCCCCATCAGGAGACCCTACACCATTTCTGACAAATGGCAGTCCAATCTCTTCTTGAAAGTCTCAAGTGATGGCGCTCCCACAACTTCCTAGGGCAAGCTATTCCAGAAGTGAAATCCAGAAGTGATATCCAAATAAAAAACACAAATATATTCCCCTTTTTAAACAGAGCTATCAATTTAACCATTTCTGCTTTATCTTCCTTGCTGTGGAAATAATATGTATTTCTATTTGCACTTAATAATCTTTATAAACAATCATCAAATTCACGGTACTCTTTCAGATTCTTTAACCTGAAAGGGAAAAATACCTTTTTCCCCCATCCATTTTAAAACCCTAAGCTTTTCTTTAAAAATGTTTCTAAAATCAAAACATTCCAATAGATCTTTTTTTAAAAACTTCCTCTTAAGCCTCTTTTTTTCAAGTACTTACAATTGCTACCCCTTTTTCCATTTTTGTACGACCTTTGTGCTCCCCTTCTGGGATCACAATGGGGACCATAATTTCCATTGCTGAGCAAAACAACTGTTAAGCGAGTCGTGCCTGATTTTATGACTTTTTTTTTTTTTTTGCTACAGTTCATAAGAAATCACACCAGTTGTTAAGCGAATGATATGGCTGTTAAGTGAATCCAGCTTTCCCCATTGACTGTCAGGATCCCAACTAACCCTCCCCAAACAAAAGTACTTTGAAGCATCTCCTCAAAGAACACTTTATTAGGTCATGTCATATTGGCACGTTGTGGTGAAAACTGGATCTAAAAGTTCTCACTGGTTTCCCCCCCTAATTAAAAGCAAAAGTTTGTCACTTCCCCAAAGGCATCCGTCCCATGGTCCAATCAGCACACAGTCCAGACATGGGATGGCCTTAGTCTCCACCTCCCAACCTCCTGCACGCATGACCTTGGTTCCCAGGGGAAAGAATGTTTTTGGTTATAGCACCCCAGCTATCTCTACACCCCACCCCTCCCTATCCATCAGCTCCATTCTGTGTCAGCACTGAAGCTCTGAAGAAAGGGAAAAAACCCAGTAGAAAAGTAAGATGGTCACCATATCACCAGCTTCAGGGTTGACATTGACTTTGCTTGTAAGAAGCCAGCTGGGAAGATTGCAAATGGCAATTGCTTGACCTGGTAAATACGTATCAGTTGATGAGAGCTGAAATTTTCATCATATGACGATGGGATGTTGTGATGGTTGTAAGTGCAAGGACTGACGACGAGTCACCTTTTCAGTATGGCTGTATGCATGTTTGCTTTAAAAATGATTGTAAGTCAAGGACTACTTGTAGTCTGTATCAGTACAGGTTTCAGGGTTTTTTTTAAAGTTTTTTTTTATTTTATAATTATTTATTATTTTTGAGAGAACAGTGTGGTTCCAGGTGTTTTACATTTTAAATCCATCATATCCACAATCATAAATACAGCTTTCTAACATCACATCATTATCTATTACCAAATTTTCTTCTTTATATTCTTATAAATTCCTTTATATCAGTCTCTTTACCTTTAATCAATCTCTATCTTCCTTAATAATATATATTCTTATGTTAAGCATATTTATGGTTTAGTCTATCCATATCAATTCATTAATCATTTATAATTTCATCTTAATTTATTTCATCCCCTTTCTAATATTACATTTGTCACTGTTGCATATATTTTTATTTTCTAAATGCTCTCTTCCAACTTCTCATTTTTGCACAAATATATTTTCCATCTTATTTTCTTTTAATCAAATATCAAACTTATAATAATGTATCCTCATTGTCTTATACACGTGGATAACAAAATATATAATCCATTAAAATATTATCCTATACTATATAATTATATCTATTCTCTATTAGACTCCACTTAACCTTCCCTTTCCCACCATAAATATTAGCCACTTATATCTTCCATAAGCATATTTTAATAATTATTCCATTTTAATTATTCCTTCTTATTCTTTCTAATTCTTAATCCAAACTCCTAAAAATCTATTTTACTACTAAGGTACCTCTTCATGTGGAGTCCCCCTCTTTCCCATTGCTAACAATCATCTCTAAGTCTCTCTTCTGTCTTAGTCATTTTTTGGCTTTCTTACCATTCTCTATTCTCTTTTGGCTTTTCCCCTTAATCCTCCCTCCATTTTTCATCATTTTCTGATATTTTTTCTCCCAATTCTCAACATTTATCCCCACCCTCTTCTGATCTCCTTTCTGTAATTTCCTAACCATTTCATTTATCAACAATCCAATTTTAATATCCCCCCCCATTTATTACATCAATCATTAATATCTCAAATTCAATTTCTTTTTTCTTCTTTTGTATTATTGTTGTTCCTCCTGTTTCATTTCCCTGGTTTCTCCTTTTTCTGACTCCTCCCCCTTCTTCTTCTTCTTCTTCTTCTTCTTCTTCTTCTTCTTCTTCTTCT